ATTAGTTTCCTGGAGTTGAGACTTTTCCCATAACACACTGGAATATGCATTATTTCACTCATTAGAGTTCGGCATCTCCAAGGTAGAATAAGACAGGAGCCTTGGTGCACCATTAGGGAAATGCCTGTCTTTATTGCACATAAAGAAGTGGTTTCGCTTATTGATAACTCAAGCTTCCCACAGGCTACCTTATCTTGATCACCAATGATGGGTTTTGCTGGGGGTGGTGGTGATTTTTTATGTGTATGTGTGTGTCTGCTGATTTGTTAGATTAAAGCTCGTCAGTTCTGTGTTACTGATCACGCCACCCTTTTCTCAGAGGCATGATTCCTGGGTTGGGATTACCTCTCAACTCCAGATGTTAGCAGAGGGAACCCACGAGGGAGAAGAGTTCCCATATTTCCAGACGAAATGAGGCAGAACAAATGAAAGGATCCCCTGCTTGGGCAGAGAACGGAATGTGTACATTACTAAGAAGTATAGCCATTGCTGTGCAAACACACTAACTCCTGTCAAATAAATTGAACTTTTTGCAGGAAAGAACTCGAGCCCTGGGTTTTTCCAAGCTAAATTGCATGAAAACACACAATCCTTTTTCTTCTTATTCGAACTGTTAGATGACGGGCCAAATTACCAGAAAGACCAAAGGCAGTTTGCAGCCTTTAGCAACTGAAAGGGCATACTGCCTCCAATTTGGAAACACAAAAGATTCTGTGTCTTACTCCAAACACTCCCAGGTCCTATGCCTTTCCCATTAGTTCTGCAAAGAAAGGAACCTGTAAGTAAAAAGAATATGAAAATGATCTGGGATTTTAGAAATGGAGAACGCATTGGCCAAAGATATATAAGCAGTTATTTCCAACTTCTTAAAAGAATACGGATATTTTTCTACCTCTGGCCAAATGGGGTCCCAGTCCTTGCTCTCTCAGCTCCCTCACTGCTGCTGGACTGGCAGGAATTCTTTTACAGACCCAATCAAAAGTCATTCCGTTTGTAAGGGCAGGGAAGCCCTGAGCTCAAGCTCAGCACTGAAGAACCCAAGGGGAGTAATGCATCTATTTTTCAATACCTGAGGCCATTTTGTTTCCAACTTTAATTGCACTTACGTATTGGTTCTGGGTATAATATCTCCACTCATCTTGCTCCACTTTCCACTATTCTACTATTAATACAGAGCTTAGGAAACATAATTGCAGTGCGCAGTAGACAGCAGTTTTCATTAACTGCACAGACGAAAACTGTTTAGCGAGAGACCTTTCTTTCCTATTGATTCAATCAAAATGACTTGGAAGAAAAGGTTGTGCTTATTAAATTCTTTTCAAAAAGGTAGCTGTTAAAATTTAAATTCTTTCTCAACAGCAATTAAAACACGGTATATAATCTCTTCAGATTTTGTCATTTATGACTTTTTGTTCTTTCCAGTTCCTTTGAAATTTGCGGCTTCTTATTGGTAGTTTTTTTAAATATAGAAAATGGAGAGGGAAGGCTTTTACACGGAGACAGAAGATATAATCAACACTGCTACTTGCAAGACACAGAGTTGCCTAGCAATACTGGGGGAATCAAAAGGGGGAAGCAATAACAAAACAGGATGTTGTGAAATTACAAGAGGGTACAGTGTCAAAGTGGCTCACAGCACTCATCTAGAAGTCTTTAAAGGAGAACGGATATGGGATTTTCTAGCAGTGGTATAAAAAATAGCTGATCATTTTTCAATGTTCTGCCTCTCTTTCATTTGGAGCAGTTTACCCAATGGGACTCTGCTATTTTGAGTTAAAAATCTAGGACAGACACATCTGAGGATAGAACAGACAGCCCCACTGAGCCACTGGCACTTATCCTTTCCAGTTGGACTAATTGAGTACATGGTACATACACCTTTCATACGCTACCATTGTTTTATAGGCTTTTGCTCCTACGGTAACTGCTGTTCCCTTTGTTGCCCTCTCCCAAATTTCAGGGTCTTCCTTAGAAATTTTCATGCCCAGATATCTGTCCCAATACCAGATCTATCATGATCCCAACCTTGGGCGCACAAACGCAGAATCTTTCCCGACATCAAGATTCCATGTGCTATCTTATTTTGCCTCGATTATGTCAAATCCATTGTGTGTTTTTTAAAAGGCCAACAAACAAAAAATACTCAACTGTACCTGGAATCCTGGAAATGTCTGTGTATCTTTGGTTGTAATAAACTTTTATCTAACAGTGCCAGCAACATGACACAGAATAAGAGGCTGGCTCTTAAAGAGATGGCGGAAATGGTCAGGAATAAATTAATTCTAAGGGAATCACTATAGGATGATACACTCAGGAAATGAAAACACTGAAAAAATTATGATGGCAAATGATGAGGCATGTGCTGAAACCCATCCTTTTGTCAGGAAAGGGATTTGGCAATATTCTGACTGAGGAGAACATAGGAATCTGGATGTAAGGGTGGCTTATAGTGTCAAGGAAGTACTAGTATATC